GCCTCAATCCCTTTTCTAGCAGATATTGTTTCATGTAGTCGATTGTGCGGATTTCGACCGCTTCCTTAGTGAACCTGTCGACGTAATTGCAAAAAGGAAGGCTGGAGGTAGTAAAGTGTCGGGAAAACTGCTCCTTAAAACTCCTTCATAACACGATCGAGCCCTGAAAAAGGCTCTTGTACCAAGTCATAGCCCATTTCCTGAGGGTGGTAAGGAATAACCTGCGTTTGATTGCTCCAAGGACATTGTGGTAGTGCATCATGGCCTCAATATTTTCTACATGGTGACAAGGGTCGGTGGTACCATCATAGATAACAAGAGGTGGAGGCTTCTCCATCCCGTGCAAAATGCGAGTGTCCATGATTTTCTGCAATAGGGGACTGCGTGCATCCCCAACTTCTGCTACATCGAGGAGAACGATCATGCTGACTTTGGTGCTCTTCGCGAGGCTTTCCGGAAGGCTTGGTCCTTTTGTGTACTTGGGAGTGCCTGGACCTCCGGGGAGGGGTGCGATCACACCTTCTAGTGATATCTTGCATATGCTTCTCCAGTTTGGACTATTCTTTGACAGAGAAGATACTTCTAGAATTGTCTCGGCGACGCTTCTGAGAGGGGGAGCGAGATCAGCGAGAGGAATTGAGGGATCCCCGCGGGGGAGGCCGTTCTCCGATGGTGTTTTCCAGCATGTGAATTTTTTCTCCTTGTTGGAAGAGCAGATAGTTGGATTTGTTGAGGGCGGCGACGAGGGCCGCTGTGTAAGGGTCAACATCTTGTGGGATGGTGTTATGTTCGTATATATGGTCGGAACTTTGGAAACGAGGCTTCACATTGTCAGGAGATGCTAGTTTTCCATCCCTGTGATCAATTTCTCCGGTGGCAACTCCGGGGATAAGGGTTTCGCCATAACCCAGAACGACGACGAGGGAATCTTGCTGAATGTCATTACGGTGGGAGGCCATTACGATGAAGGTTTAGAGAGGTGGCTTTGGTATTTTGTTTAGGAAGATTGGGAAATCTTTGTTCAAAAAGACGAGGGAGCTGGTTTTCCCACAGACGATGCCACTGATATGGGGCAATCAGAATGAATCGTCTTGGCTTTCAATGTAGGGTAGCAACAGTGGTTGTAAGAGAGAAGGGGGTGTAACTTCAAGGTACTCCAATGCCAAAGTAAGTGTTTAAGCTAGAGAAATAAAGTACGAGTGACTATGTATGACTAAGAATGATTAGAATACCTGACCCTCTCATGAAAGAGGGTATTCATACGATTTCCCCAGCGCGAGGCTAAGGTTCCACATGTGACTGAAATATCTGGTCGGCCAATGAGGGATTTCTAGGTGGAAGATCTAGCACGTGATCTTTGACCTGGTCCAACTACCTCCGTGACTTTCGGAGGGGAAGTTGGTCGCGTGAACTGTCAAGCGCGTGAGGGGCATGTCCCCAACGACTATGCGTTTCAACGACTATGCGTTCCAACGATTATATTGTGCCAAATGGCTATATTGTGCCCAACGACTATATTATGCCCAACGCCTATATTGTTCCCTAGGATCATATTGATTCTAGCCTTAAGCTAGACTGGATTAGGCCTTGCCCAGATGTGGGACAGGTGTCAGTCCAGTCCATAATACTACTCAAAATCAACAAAGCATATATGAACCACATAATTGAAAATTAAATCATTTGATAAGCAACAAAATTATAAAATACTCAGCATTAAAATGCCTCAATAACACTACTAGTTTTAAAAAATGCTTCAACATTAAAATAAATGAGAAGGTATGTAGCATAATCAGAATAAAAGAACAACTCGTTCCCTTTGTGTTATATATCAGGGAGACTCCAACTATATGACTTGATCAACAAGCAACTAAGGAGGCACAATGCCATCCTTAACATTAAGCTCATACTCAAGTACCTGATTATCTATACTCTAGAGGAACACAAACGCAATAACATAAAAAGGGGGGGGGGGTGAGAATACGTTCAAGTAGCAATCCGTGCATAAAATAATCAGGGTAGATTCGCACATTACAAATCATACACATACTAAACGTGCACCATGATAACATGTATTCCTATTTCACCCATATCACGATCAATCATCAATCACAATGTTACTCATCACATTCAAAATCACACATTTCCATACAAGAGTATTCAACAACACTCAAACATCCCATCTGCATAATGGTTATGTAATTTAATGCAATATCGACTCAACTCATGCTTATCACGGTCCCCGCTTTGAACTAAACTCACAACTTAACTCTATATGCATGCGATACCAACTCAACATTTGGTTCTTCATACGAACCGTGTTCATTCTCTGAACCCCGATCATCTAATCTAAGCTCCAAGCCCTCACTCTAAACTTATGACAAGTCACTAGTATCCACTCTAAATGCGTGACTCGCCTCTTTCACAACAACGACAACATATGATGCATGACATATAATAATGCAATAACAATAACACAACAATGAATGCAACCCCACTTTGACTGTAAACAACCATACAACAACAAAAACATATAAACGAATATAACTCTACTCTGACCATAATCAATCATGCAACAACAACCACATAGTAACGAGTACAACTCCACTCTGACTATAAGCGATCATGCATTCAATGCATCACAAGTAGTTCCCACTCGAACTACTTATCTCATAATCGTCAATAAATATGTATAATAAATCACATAATTAAACTTGCATTTCACAAGAGCAACACCATATCAAATACATATCCACACACAACAGTCAATCATGTTAAATCATCTTAACATCGATTCATCATTAAGCATGTACTATAATTCACACAATTATGCATACAATTCACGACATTTATCCACACATTGGACATACATCCACACATCAATCAAACGTGTTAATTCGTCTCACAATGCATTACCATAATATAGCTCTGTGTGTTAGCTTTCCAACGCTTCAAACGCCACCTCGTTTGGACTTGTAGAATTAAAGTTACGATAAAATTAGTTGAAAACGAAAAATCAAAATTTCTGAAAACACAACCGCTATAACTGGTTAACCAAAACCCCTAATCGGCTACAATCATGAAAATTTTGAAAAAACATTTATTAGCTTCAACTATAACCAGTTACACCAATGCGTTAACCGGTTATCACTATACAAAAACGCAAAAACGCGATTTTCACCATCAGAGCATTTCCAAAGCTCTGATTTTGATTCCTAAAACACTCAATTGAACATAATTCATCATACATACACTATATCACATTGAACATGTTAATTTCACAAAAGTTAACGCATTAATTCACCATTTAATCACAGACTCAAGATTATGTTCATATCCTAAACCACCCAATTTCAACACAGATTCATCATTAATCAACTGACTCATGAAACACAAAAAACTCATCATCAAACACCATTATCACATTAATTCATGGTCAAAACAAAATCATAAGCATCCTCAATCATATTCATATCAAGCAATAGAGAAAAAAATTCTATCGGAGGTTAAGGAAACCTCTTCACCCTTTCATGATTAAGGCACTCTTAAATGAATAATCTTTTCCCCTTACCTTTTAATTCTTGCAAAATCAACATTTTATGTAATCTCCTTCTCAAAGCCCTAAGAGTATCTCCAACGAGAAATTTTTGAACCATTACTCCAACATGGCACAATCCAAAAACTAATTTTCACCATTGAAGAAAGAAGTTTTTTCTCCACCTGACACTACAGTTGCATTAGAATGCAACGTTGTTTTAAGTTAAAATAATAATAAAATAATCTCTTTTCATAATGAGTAGTTTTATATGAGTTAAAATTGTGGGGTCCAAAATGACTTTTTTTGAGTTGTGCCATTAAAGTGAAAATTAGATGAGTTGTTTGAAGATGATGTGGCTCAATGGATCCTAAAAAAAAAACCCAAAGAAAAATTACACCATTGGAGATGCTCTGACTTCCCCTTATAACACTCTTACTCTCTAACCTTCTTTTTATCCGTTTTGTCAAAATGCTCTCCAAAAAATCCTTATTTCCTTCAATACTTTTTAATTATATAATAATCTAATTAACTTTTTCATAATTATAATTTTGACTTAATTAAACTCAAACTTCTCTCCAATAACCACCTAATTTTCTATTATTTACTTTTTATCCCAATCTTCACTATTCTCTTAATTGATCAAATCACCTTACCTCCTCGTAATCTAACAATTTTCTATTAATCAACTAATTAATCAAATCATATTAAAACTAATTAATTAAATATAATTCACTATAAATTCGACAGGGGCCAATCATATTATAAATTATATAAAATAATTATTTAAATAAATGTCTTAATTAAATTAAATAAATAATTAAATAAAAGATTAATTAAATCGGGTATTATAGATGGCTTACTAAAAATATATTAAACAATAAAAGTACTAGAATTTTCGAGGTGGTGTGCGTCAGCGCATACGTCCTTCTCCCTGTCCAGTTTTCCCCATTCTCATTTATTTCCTTCATTTTCACCTACTTCCCTTTTTTTCATCGAATTCTTCTGCTCCTTAGCTTCAGAACCGCAAGGTAATTCTATTCTCTTTCTACATTATTCGGTGCTGTTATTCAGTTCTTCTGATCATGACACAAACAAAATAAAATATAGGATAATCCTCTAATTTTCATTCGTTTCTCGTTTTTGATATTCTTATAGCTGCGAAATTCTCCGTTTTATTTATCTGTTTGTGGTTTAAGAATGATTCCCAATTCAGTTTTCTAGCATAGGTTTTTCTAATTTTCTGAAATTGGTTGTGGTAGTTGAGAATTTGTTGAAATTACTTGTACTGATTATCAGTTTTATTTGTTGATTAGGTTCAATTTTGTCAAATTTTATAGTATTTGTGATTATATGTAGCTGTCAACTGTTCTCTATTAGGGATTGTTCTTGAATTTGGGATAACTTTATTAGGCCAGGATCTTGTTGTTGACTCACCGGATGTGTTCTAATTCTGTATAGATTAAATATGCACACTCCATCAACCCTTATCAACATCTCTGTTACATGGAGGGGGAAAAAGTTTGTTGTAGACATGAATTTGGATGCCACTGTGAAGGATCTAGGGGTGGAATTGCAAAAATTAACGGATATCAGAGAAGATACCATGAAGCTTATTGTTCCACAGATTGCTGGCAGAACATCTAAACTGCTGGCTCCCTTTTCAACAGAGCATGCAATTTTAAGTTTGTGGGAAGCTTCCATCACCGAGGTATTATCATTTGCATTTACTATATCAGGTGGATTAAAATTACAGTTCTTAGTGTGAACAAGGACAACAAAAATTTAGGTTTTTTTGTTCTATTAAACGTTGCACTATGTTAGCTGGTGTTTTCCCCTATAATTTTATGGTATCTACCGTGCAACTTATAGTGTTTGACCCTTTTTGAACTTAAATATCATTGAGTTCTTCTAAGGTATCCTCTGTTCACATGATATTATTGTTGGCCACACATTCTTTAACATCTACTTGAGTAGACACGGATTTTCTTTTATGCTATTATTCCAAATGTATTATGTTTTTCCCTTCCATCTTGGTTTGCAATTGAACTCTAATTTTAATACTGAGAGAAGAGACCGTATCTTGGTATTTCATGTTAGGCTACTTGCATTCATGATCAAATATCATGCACTTTCTTCTTATTAGATCTTCGGCTTAGGAGTAAGGATTTATTCATATATTGATAGATAAACTGAGCTGATATGAATCTGAAAATACTCTTAATAATGAGAGGAGGAGACCTCTGTTACAAGCTCAAAGTAGAAAATGGAAAGTAGAACATGAAGAAACTCAGAAAATACCGCAGTTACCCAATTTCTAATTCTCATGCACCCCCTCACTGACCCCCATCTCCCCGCTTATATAGAATTGATTCCATATCTCTCCCATAAGTTGGATCTAAATGTTCTTCCATTAGCCGTGATTTAGGATATACCATTATGGTTACCCATTCTTTTTTTCTTTCCAGGCCAAGTCAATTCTAATGATGGGCGTATCAACAAATGAGGTCGACGAAGTTCTGAAAAATGCCGAAGCAAATTTAAGAATAGCAGGATTTGAGGACGAGGAAAAGAGACTGAAACAGAAAATTTCACATGGACCTCGTGTTTCATTGAAACTTCCACAAGGGCCTTATATATTTTGTGAATTCCGCACTCTTGAAATTCCTGGATTGAAGGTATTATTTTACAATATAATTATTGATTATTATTTTGAGCTCAAGAAGAGAATCATCAATCACGCAGCTGAGCTCCTATTTTATCTTCAATAGTTCCTCGTGCACTTGTGTTTACTTTGTCATTAGTAATTCAGTATAGTGTTTTGGCAAAACAAATCATATATTTGCTTTTGGACTGGGAAAGTGTAGCTATGCATATGACATTTTCCCATTAAATTTTGTTAATGGTTATTGATTATCCATCGCTTTCTTTGCCACCCATTGTATTTGTAAAATTTAATAGAGGTTTCTCTACTTATCATGATTGGCTTTTGCTTTCCGCTACCTTCAGTTGAATCCCCCTCCATCCGAGGCACTGAAAAGAATGCATATGCTTGCTGCTGATCCTGGAATTGTTGCAGTCATGAACAAGGTACACAAATACATTTTGACATATATTTGTATAATAATGACAGTATGGTGCATATCCTGACAAATGTTTGGTTTGCATCTTATAGCATCGTTGGCGTGTGGGGATCATGACTGAGATGGCTCCCATTGGTTATGTTGGTGTGAGCCCAAAATGCATTCTTGGTTTTAACAAGGTATTGAAATCTTCAAGATGAGGAAGCATGGTATCTTAAGTATCCAGTTTTATTCTCTTGTTATTTTCTCATATTTTCATTCTTATTTACAGAATCATGGAGAGGAAATATCGTTGCGACTTCGAACTGATGACCTCAAAGGTTTCAGGAAATACGAAAGCATCAAGAAAACTCTACTGCATGAGCTTGTAAGCTATATCATGCACCACAAGTATCATGTGTTTTTTTCCTTGATCCTAAGCATTTTAAATAACATAAATAATATAAGGTGCATTTGTCTATTTGTGACTTGAAATTTATTAAACTAACTCGTGTTTCATTTCAGGCTCACACGATATACTCTGAACATGATGCAAACTTTTATGCTCTGGATAAGCAGGTACATGCACTCTCTTGAGTGTTTGGCTATCAGTCTGTTATTCATTTTGATTTATTGCCTTTCTGATTTAATTTTTTTTTTCTTTGCAGTTAAATCAAGAAGCTGCTAGTTTAGATTGGACCAGATCTGCAGGCCACACTTTGAGTGGAGTGAGGAGTTCTGAAATCTATGAAGATGATTTTATGGCAGAGGACAGTAATAATATTCCTCAGAAGCTTGGTGGTAATAGGTCAGACCAGCTAATGAGTGCTCGTGAATCTTCAGTTACTGCTGCTTACTATAGGATGGCTAGTGTTATCTCTAACAAGCTGGGAGAGTCCGAAGTAAATCAAGAGCCGGACCGTGATCATTCCAATGCTAACATCAGAGAAAACCCTGATCATATGGAATCGTCCTCCGAAGAAATTAAAAATACTGACACACCCATCATTATTGACGAAGGACTTAATGAGCCCGACCCCGATGATCAAATTAAAAATGGAATGAAACATGAACCTGATCCTGATGATTCTTATCATGGTAAAGCTATTATTTTTTACGTTTGTCCAAAAACTATTGATAGCAGGACTGTATTTGACCAAAAGCCTATTGATTTTGGTGTAGCAGAACATTTGCATTCTCAGACAGGTACAGTGAATATGGATGCAACTTATCCTCATGCAAATGATTCAGAAACATCGTTAAAGTCTATTGCTCCAGCAATTGGTAAGTATTCTCTAACATAGGTAGTTTAGATAGACACGTCATTGTTCATAAACTTCACAATAATGAATTGGTGGAAAAAATAAACAGTTCATGATAGTATGCGGCTGTCAGGGGAGCCCGCGTTGGAAATAAATAAAAGAAATAAAAATAATTCCATTGCTTGATTAAAAATGGTGGGTATTGGGAGAAGTATCTCTCCACAGATTTCCCTTAACCAACTATTTTTGCTGTCTAAACTAACTATTTTTGACTATTATTTATAACTAATTCCACTAACCAACTATATTTGCTGTCTAAACTAACTACTTTCTCTTCTCTTTTTTCTTCAAAGCAACTATGCTTCTCTCTTAATAATTTCTTGATTCAATTGGTTTCTTATTGCCACTAAATGTCGAATGATATGTAAATGACAGCTGCTCATGATGAATTTGGTGTAGAAATAAATATGACAGCAGAACCTGATCCTGATGACAACGTGGTTCCCACACCAAAGTTATCTACACTGCAGACTGATGAGCCAGATCCCGATGACCAAGAACTCCAGAGGATAAATGGTGCCATGACTGCTGTTTGTAACCGACTGCAGAAGGCCTTGGAGATGCTTAAAAGTGAAGTTAGCCCAATGCAAAGTACTTCAATTCTCCAAACTCTCTTGAAAATAATTAGGTATTCTTCTCATGCACAATTATATTGACAAACCACTGATACCATTTTGACATCCTCTTGCTTCAAGGTTTTAGCTTCAAAAATATTTAGAAAATACTTCTAGTAATTCTTTGTTTAGTCCTACTTTAATCATTCCTTTCCCTATTGCAGGAATGTAATTGAACATCCTGAGATGGAAAAATACAAGAGATTGCGGAAGGTATATAATCTATTCTACCTCTTGCAAGTTGCAATGCTGCCTGAGGCATTGCTTTATTCTGACATTTCAAGTTATTTTATTTTCATTTCCTACATAATAATCAACACTATTTTTGCAGGCTAATCCTGTCATTGAGAGGAATATTCTAACTAATAAAGGTTTGCATCTTCTGACCATTGAATTTTAATTTCAGTAGTTCTGGTTGTGTAGAACTTCCATCTAGACAGAACATGTTTCCTATGTGTAAATTTTTTGCAAGATCCTCGATATTAGGTTTGTTGTAATTCTGGTACAACTTAAATAACAGAGATATGAGCCAAGAGTTGAGACAGCTTAGAAATAGAATTTATGTGTCATGTGGCATACTGGCATTGTACATGCTCAAAATTGGGCTAATATCTTTTTCATTTTTTGCCTGCTACAGCTGCTTTGGAAATTCTCTCTTTGGTTGGTTTCAGAGATGATGTTATATTTGATAATCTTGGCAAGGAAGATACATACTTGGTGTTGAAGCGGAATGATCCCGGCTTATTGTGGCTAGCTAAGTCAACCATTGAGTCAAGTAGTGCTTGCTAGCTCTCAAAACAATTCTTACAAAGTGGCATGTAGAAGTGTACTATATAAAAAGATATCATTAGAATATGTAAATGAGTTAAAATTGTAACTTTATATTGCCATTACATTGCAAATAGTGTGATATATTATTCAATGCATAGAAACGAAGTGGAAAGAAAAAGCACTGTATATAGGAAAATTGGAAGTGCAAATAAAAATATGGGATTCTATCAAATGATAGTTGTTTTTCTTCATTGTGCATTTCGATATGTCATTCTTTTGCATTTAGTTGTTTTTGTTCATTGTGCATTTATGTCATTCTGTTGCATTTAGTTGTTTTTGTTCATTGTGCATTTCGATATGTCATTCTATTGCATTTTGGTGATTATCGTTTATGGATGACAGTTTGCCTTTGAGTGAAAAAATAGAGTAAGTGTATGAAAAATGGAAATGTTGGGTACATCACAACATTATTTGTGGGCAAATTTTCCGTTCCTTACTTGGCAAGTGCACAATTGTTATTGTCCTGCTTTGAAACTATATAATTTACGCAATGCCAAATGATGTTGAAGGTGCCAACAATTGAAGCAATCATAAAAAATGGTCCCACGAAGGGATCAATGTCTATCAATACTCTTAATTGCTTATGTAAGAGGAGCCATATCAATAGCAGTGTTCGAATCATCAAACAACCAAAAGATCAAATGGACATTGACAAAACTAATGAATAGATGATTCTTCTACTTACTTTCTCACAAAGATTGCATGGTGCGGGGAAGTTGTTACAGAAAAGTCTCCAAGCTAATAAATTTAGATTTAATTTTGCTACAAATAGAAGAGAAAAATGTGGTAGGATATGTGGGAACTGGATCTGATCACCTTGCTTCTTAGAAAAATAGCCCACTGAGTATTGGATGTAAGGAATTTCCTGATATATATTTGAACTAAAGATCTGGCGCCCAAGACAGCTTCTATGCACGGAGTCTAAAGAGGTTCATCAAGTAATTGGTAGAAGCATAAATGGAAGAGATACCAAAATACTTCCCACCATCTTTAACAATAAATGAAAAAAGTTGGGTATCATATGAAACAACAGTAGGGTCTCGATTATTGAGCATAAGCATCAAATATTAAGAAGGATACTGCCTCTATTGTTAATTGCAAAAAACATAAGGTTAATCATGTTCTGCCATATTTTGAGAAATGAATCAAAATCCATCCATGTTCATCTATACTCACTATATCAGGATTATTAGAGGAAATAAGTATTTCAAGACTTGTTTGGATGTGGTATTGGTCAGACCTCTAATGTTTCAAAAAACACATCAAGGTATATATACATCTATATATTGTTTATGTAAAGTTAAATACATTCGTTAAGATATTTAGTTCAAAAGTGATAATATAAGATGTGTTCATATAGATCATAAAAGTAGTACATAAAGTTTAAGATGATTGCACAATGGGGTGGTGGCGCAGTTGGCTAGCGCGTAGGTCTCATAGCTGAGAGTAATCCTGAGGTCGAGAGTTCGAGCCTCTCTCACCCCATATTGTTTTTGAATTTAAAAAAAAGTGTGTTTTGTCAAAAATAATAGTACAACATATTTTTATTTATACTTTTTTTGCAAAATAATTTGATAGATCACAATTGAGTATGAACCGCATCAAATCAAATGGTAATGAAAAGACCAAGTGCACGGGAAGTTGACTGCACCTGATCCCGGTCTTACCCAGTCACCTTCACTTCCTCTCTAATTCCTTTATCGGTAGCCTAGAACGGTAATTACACACCCCGTGTTCTTTCCACTTGGTATCGGAGAACGAGAAGCCGACGGTATCGTAACAAACTTTTCAACTGAAAAACCATGGCGTTACAAATGGCACCTAGCTCCTCCAAGGTTCTCATCCTCGTTGGAGCTGGTACGCTATCGTTTCTCTCCTTTTCCTTTATATATCTCCGATTTCATTCTTCTCTGATTTTGGGTCACGATTTTTCATCGTTGGTTAATTCCGATTATAGGTTTGGCGAGTTCGGTTGTTTTGAATGGTGGACAATTGTCTGCTGTTATTGCACAGCTTCAGGATGTGCTCAAGGGAGTCGATGATCAGGTTAAGATTTCAACTGCTGGATATGACACCGCCGTTATTGCTGCTCAGGTATGGTCGAATTGTTTATTGTTGAATGTTTTTCCACTGCATAGCATGCCAGTAGGTATTTGGGATTGAGAATTAGCGCATGTCCATGATGTTAGGCCGGAAGCTTGGTGCATATTTGCTTTTTTTTATTGTTTATGTTATGTTGGCTAAACGGTGTTATAGGCTTTTGGTCAGTAAATTGGCCTTACCAAGATAACTTGCCTGAGAAAAGAACCCGAACGAAGAAAAGACAGAACCAAAATGGGGAATTACCTGTGGGAAAGGAAAAATATTTCAGTTAGGATATTGTTTATTTTTGAAGTTTCAATTTGATGATTGCTGGTGAAGTTATATGTTAGTAAGTCCAAGGCTATGCCTACAATTACTTGAGTGTGTTGAAGGAGGAAGTAGATGAATGTAGAGTTTGGGCCATGGGGAGTCTTTTGATGAGAATATGGGAGGGCGGGATATGGATGGATATGCATGGTGGTTTTTGGGCTTGTCGCAGTGGTAAATTTTGGCCTATATTTCGGGTTTTTCTGCCATCATCTGCTATAACGCCGCTGCAAAGCAGCCGGTATGGCGGGATTTTGGCTCCTCGCCATGGACCTCCATCCGTCATTGACAGCACTGGAAAAGATCCAAGTAGCTAGATGAACAGGAAAATTACTCCTCTTTAGCATGGCAGGCAGGAAAGGGTCCAGATAATTGGTGGATGGATAATGAAACAAAGGAAAAGAGGGGAGAAAGATTTTGGAATGGTGCAAGAGAGCATCAGGTCGCTGAAATTGCTTAGTTATTCTGTTTGGCAGTGAGTTTTTACTATATTTGGAGTGGACAAACTTACTACTCTTATGTTGATAATATCATACTGTTTTTCGCAGTAGAATTTCAGAAATAATATAATATTATTCAACTGTTTCTTGTTCAGTTCTATCATTTTATAATATTTGACGTTGATGGTAAAGCTATTTCTTGATAAGGAACTTATTGGTTTTCATGCTGCATATGCGTATTTTTACTTTCAGGTTCGGCAACTAGCACAAGAAATTAGGGAGTTGACCTTGTCTAGGCCTATGACTATCTATAATGAAAGTTCTTCTAGAGGTATGTTGATCCAATTATATCACAACTTCTACTCCTGCAAACTTGGGCTATACATACTTTTCTTTCCTTATCTTAATGATGATCTGAAACATTGGATTTGAGATGTAATAGTTGCCCTATGTTCAATTGTTTTCATACTCGTGATTATAAACATCTACTACCCCGTCCCTAAATTTAGGACTCTCTTGAGAATTTTTCTTGTCCCCTTTTATATGACTTTTTCTAATTTTCAACTATATTAATTATTTCATTGGCAAAATATCTATCAGCGTTTTACATGTTTTTAATTTTTAACTTTTACTAGCAATAAATGCTATGATGAAGAAGATATATCGTCTCCTTGCTTATGGGGTAAACTTGGAAAAATGATATCTATTGTTTGCCAATTTAATTAGTACCAATTTACTTTATATATGAGTTTAGTGAATAAGGTCCTATATTTAGGGACAAAGGTAGTATTAATTATGTATATTAAACTTGCTAAGGTGTGCTGGGTACTTGTATTATACTCTTTTAAAATTGGACTATAGAGACAATATATATTCGTTCAACTGGTTCAACAATGACCAAGTAATTCGATAACTTACTGAATCAAATTTATTAACCTGTTTCCAAGTGTTGAGAGATCTATCATCAAATGTAGACAAGAGTATCTTATTCGCTAGATAAATATATTAATTTTAACATTTGGGCGCAGGGGGGCTTGCTTCTTACTTACTACCTGCTGCTGCAATAGGAGCTGTGGGATATTGTTACATGCGGTGGAAGGCGAGACTATAACCCAACTTCTTTTCTTCACAAATATAGTTATGTATGAACCAGAATACGATATGAGATGTGACATGACGATGTTTAACACATAGTCTTACCACTGCTGTGCAGGATTTGTCATTTTCTGATGTAATGTTTGCAACAAAAAAGAATATGGCTAATGCTGTTGCGAGTGTGTCAAAGCAGCTAGAGAATGTACATGAAACATTGGCAGTAAGTAGCTTTTATTAGTTGTTGATATTCCTTTTTTTACTATTTGAACATCTTTTCTCTGGATTTTGATCCTCTCCTTCAATTTTCTCTCTTAATTTCACTCTCTCTTCATTAAAAATAATAAAAGAATCAAGAGAGAGTGAGAGTAAGGTTAAAAGAGAGATAGGAAAGAAATGGAGAGAAAATTGAAGAAGAACCAATTTCCTTTTCTCTTTGAATGTTGCTGATCTTTTTTGTTTATTTAATTTAATTTGCACAGTCAACAAAAAAACATCTAATAAAGAGGTTGGAAGGTCTTGACTTGAAGGTGGAAGAGCAGAATGAGTTAGGCCAACATATTTCAAATGACGTAAGCAAAGTTAATTTTCCGTTAGTGTATAGCTAAAGACATTAATATAATTGACATTGACAATGCTGTCTAGAATGTTTGAATATTGTTGCCCCATTATTCTAAATAAAAGATGATTTATCAATTAGCAAGGTAGAGAGGGTCTGTGCAACATTCATACGTCAAGCCCAAGGGCTTGTTTAAGAAGGCATGCTAGATTTAAAATCAATCACATGCTTTCACTTAAAAACTCGGGCTTTTGGGATAGTTGTTCACGATACGTTGATTTTTTCAACCTACAATCCATATTACCACTTTTCCCTTGATCCAACGAACCTTGAGTTTGGTTGGCTCTCCAAGTACATCTTTTCTTGCTAAGGTCCTTGATGAAAGGCATGCTTGACATTCAATTATAGCTAGATTCAAAAGAGATAAATAATCAATCAGATGCAATATTAGCAGGTAGAGAAAAATTGTGTATGAATAATCAACACCATAGCACCAAAACAAGCTTCTAAGCTTATAAAATAGTAGCTGTTCAACATATTCAATCAATTACGTTAACACTTGGTATTTCAGTGTGTTAAATACAAATACTTTAAAAAGTTCAAGCTGGTAGTTGAAGCCCAATAATAATTTTCTATTTTTAGCATACCTTCTCAAGAATGAGCTTTCGGGCTTGAAATGTTGACAATGCAAAAACGTTTTACCTCATGCTCAAATTTAATTATAAAGAATGTGGATGTTAAGGGTTGAACTCTTTACGTATGCTCGCTCATATTGGTTATTTACATGTCAAAGACTTGTAGTTGATGTCCCAAGAAAGTTTTTTGCATGCTTGATGTAGGATAGGGTAACCTAGGAGTACAAATTGCTCCTTCAGCTCAAACTTAGAAACTCTGAAAAGAAAACTATATTATAATTAATCATCAAAAAGTCATGCAAGTGTTAGCATTTGAAGGCCTACTCGCAGCCATAACAAAGGCAAACAATCTAAGAATTGTTCCAATTTTAAGAGGGAATAGGACAATTCATAATTAGAATGATGTCCTGAATACTAAATAACAATAAAATAATCCCAAACAGATCACCCTACTTAAGATATTTAAAAGCTAAGTTCATTAATTAAAAAAATTAAAACTTAAATTCATTATAAAATAACTTCCCAATCTACATTATTGTCCTCAGTGGAGAATTCTCCTCCCAATAGTCAGAAAAATCAAATGGAGTTGAATCCTGTGAGTGAAAAGCATTGCTTGTGCTAAGATCATTGGAATTGGAACTGTCCCTCCATTTTTAAGTTAATGGAAAGAGGGGCAGAAGAACCATTATACCCTACATCCAAATGAATTTCAAACTCCTCTTGCCCCTGACTATCAAGAGACACTCACTTTAAGTGATCACCACACTTTATCACTTTGATAGAAACTGGTTCTTTTACCAAATAAAATTCGGACATTTTCTAATATTTATTGGTACAAAACAGAAATATCACAAACAGAATGACAGGGACCAGTTTGGTTCTTTCCAAGAATTCGAGAGTCTTGGATCTCTCCCTTCCCAAATGTTTTGCTATCTTCCTATTTATTGAGCATAACAGCCTATAGAACTTACACACATTAATTAACTAATTAATAAAATGTAACTGACAGAAAGATAAAACAGTAACGGCTAATAAAATAACTGCATGGCAGAATAGAAATGGTTCCTAGTAATTCTGAAGGTCTAGCACACTTCCCTAGAACTTGGATATTTCAACTTTTCATAAGGCTGTATAGACGAGGCAGGTATCTTTCAAAAAGGATAGTGGATATTAGTTTATCCCCCTTTTCCAAAATGTTATAAATTGTTCACCTCTTTTGATAATACAGGCCCAGATGGTGAATTAACTAATTGACCCCATATGCTTATTTTGCGCCAAGTGGTGTTATCGAAATATAGGAAATGGGAGGTAAAGAATGTAACGTGACTGAGAGTGGGAAACTAGCAAATTGTGTGACTCATGTTATTAGAGATGAAAGAGAGAAGAGGAGGATCATTGAGGATTTTCGGTTAGAAACCATTTTTTTGGCTTGGAGAGAAAGTCATCTCTTCTCTGAGAGGAGCATGGCTCTGGACAGTAGGAGTACCAATTCTATTAATTTTCCTTTTCAATCCATAATACTATTTTTCAGTTCTCAGTTTGGGTTCCTATCTCAATGGAGTCACCTGAGTTGCTATTTGGAATTTTAAATTGTTTTTCTTAACTTAAACACATGTTCATGACTGCTTGCAAATGCTTCAGGTAGCACAGGGGGGCATATACCAGCTCCATTGGTCATGGAATTTCATGGTTCTGTGGACCAGGCTGTCTTGGAATCCATTGATGTGGTCAGTTTTTTTAATCTAATGTTTCAAAGTGGGGGTCTGGTGTTGGAAGCCATGTTGTTGGGAACCTTTCTGGCAACTTTATGCCCAGGTGTTGCCATGAGGGACACTAGAATTAATGGGTCTAACTTGACAGTGTGAATTTGAATATCTGATAGTGTCCTCAAAACGCCGAAATCGTAGAATTTAGAAAGAACACAAAAGATAACAGTGGAGTATGGAAGTAGTGTTCATAAAGGACTAAAAATACCAAATTCGTGTGGGACAGAGGTACTCCCTCAATTAGCATATCCTTTTGGCGTGGAGTGCTCCATTGCTTCTTTGACGCAAACTCAGATACCCATTGAATAGAAATTATTGTTGTAATCTATCATTCAAAAGCTATCTGAATGCTTAGACTGAATTATTATAGACCTAATATATAAAGCTAACAAACCTAACAGGTCCTATTTTAAGCTTGCAAACCCTAAATACTAAATAACAATAAAATAATACCAAATTGGCAACCCTTATTATGTATTGAAATTATAAATATGTAATAAAATAAACAGCCTAATCTACTTAAATTATTTAACTCGAACTTGATTTGGTCCTCAATAATGGAGTATATTTTGTGAACTAAATTTGCAGTTTGCATAGATCGAGGTGCTTTGGCAAAATGAATTCTTACACTGATCATCACGTGCATATAAACTTTTCATACAGGTAAATGCAGTAAAGTCAGATCTTTCTCAGATTGGGTGTGATGTTGAACTTATACATCAAATGATGTCCGGGCTGGTAAATTGCAGAACTTGTTGGTCTTTTCTGCTCTCTCTTTAGCATGTAACCATATTGAATATATATATATATATATATATATATATATATATATATATATATATATATATATATATATATATATATATATATATATATATATATATATATATATATATATATATATATATATTTGACGTTCTAACTTGAATCAATCTCTTAACTTGATAGGAAGAGAAGCTCAAGCTTGTCGAAGGCAATCAGGTTATAAGTTTAACTTTGCAGACATGGGCTATACACTCTAGCATTTGTTTTTCAAAGTTATTAATTATTTCCCTGATATTTTTTGTTAAATATCATGCAGGATGTTACCAACTCAGGTATCTGGTATTTGTGCAAACTTGCTGACGATATCAACAATGAGCCAAATGGTAGAGTTTACAAGGTTAGATATTTCAGCTTGTTATGTATTTTCCTCCACTCTAGTAACAAAAAGGAAACCTGGGTTTTTTTAAGGAAGGTTTTCTTATTCTATGTTGAAATCCATTTATTGTAAATAATACTGCTCTAGATTATCATGGAAATTTCTAACTTTTCTTATGCTAATACCAAGCCTTGTTTTTATGGGTATTATCGACAGGGACTTGCAGAACTTACAATGACACTTGACGAAAAAGCCCCTAAGGTTTGTCTTCTCCGTCTAACGACTTTCAATTAAGTTGTTCTCGAACTCCTAGCCAGAGGTGACACATTTCATTAATGCATTTCAGGGGCTTCAATTCATTGCTGAAACAACAGACACCATTGAGAACTCAGCCATAATAACAAAGAAAGTTGGTCTCAACTTTTCAGACGAGAAATTACCTGTTTCTAAATCAAGAGTACATAGGGCATATCCTGTTGGCATTTCTGTGAGCAAGGGCATTTCTGATTTGGTTTGATTAGCCTTTTGATTTAAATTACAGTGATCAGCCTATCAGCCTGCGGACATTGGATTCAATAACAGTACTTTTCTTATGGACAGTTGAAGTGATTAATATACATCTGTTAAAACCACCACAGAAATCTCGGGCACACAAAAGGAAGAACCTTTCAACGCCGTGTTAATGAATTTTTGTCTCTTGTATATGCAACTTTGAGACAGAATTATACTTGATTCTTTGTATACTTTACTGTCAAATGTGTTTAAAATGGATTTCCAATTTTCCTTCGGATGTAATGATGCTGAGTCAGTAACCTTATAAGTTTCTGTGTCCAAAAATAATTCAAGTTTATTGGCAACGATTCGAAGTATAAGTGAGCTATGGGGATATATAATTGACGAAAAACTATGAGGTGTACCTTACTTATAACCACCAGAGAAGAATTTAAAGGCAAAAATATTTTGGAGATTGAAATTCGGATCCCTCTCTCACCACACCACACACCTAAACCTGATAAAAACAACGCTTAAATAATCTGAATGCCAATCTTAATTTTTACGGATTTCAATCTCAAGGGGTGTTCGGTTTATAGCTTCGCGCATTTTTTCCTTCCTTTCTTAATAGAGATTGTGAGTAAACTTCATTTTTAATAATTTTTATCCTTTCTCGTTACTTCTAAATTCTAATGCATTGCATTAAATCCTAGGACATCACTCAATTTCTACTCCATTTTATTCAGTCGAGATTTTTTATTTTCTTACAATTTGATAACTTTTTCACCTTTTTCCTTTTTTTGTTGTTGTTGTGATGAATTTATTACCTAAACAAATTGTTTATTGTAGATAAAAGCATACTGAATTGGTTTGTGATGCATGCATTTACATTTTTTTTCAAGTTTCAGGCGTAATGGTTTTGTTTGTTCATTTTCTACTTTTCTATTCCGTCTGAAGATTGGAATCCAGACCATTAGTCCTGAAAAAAAAAGGATTTTTCTATTCTGCATTGCTTGTTTGATTTTTCATATTATGTTATCTGGAGATGATTTCTTTGATTATTTTATGATTTTTCTACTGTAATTACATGTAAAATGTCTGACAATCAAGATAAATTGTGGCCCAACATACTTTTGTTTAGAGGGAAAAAACTAGATCCTCTCGTTCAGCCGTTGGTGTCACTTTATTTGGTGCAGGAGCATTGTCTTTCGGAGTTCACGTGTCTCTCACATTGTCCTCCTAGAGACACGAGTCTCCTATTGGTGCTCAAGATGTCTTAAAAGCTCAAAAAGTCCATGTTGATAAATCTCTTGTTGTCGTTCCTGATGTTTTTTTAAGAGGACCCTCAAACTTGTCACTTCTTTCTATGTATACAGTTTGTGCTGCTAGGCACATGTGAGATTGGGAGGCAACATAAATATTTAATTATTCTTTTAAGCATACGTGTATACGATTTGAATTTTTCGACAATGATGTTTTTTTACAGTACCGCGATACATTAAAATGTATTAACCATGGTAGGAAGATTGCAAATTTGTCATAGCCTGATGAACCATGGTTTTAGGATGTCATGTATGCATATGGGTTACAAGATTAATGCAGGACATAATATGATTATATTAACCATGGTCTGTTGTCAGCTTTTGCGCAGAGACGAGACTTAGAGACGTTTTCATTCCATCTTCTGATTGGTGAGATGCTCATCATACTTGATAATGTGTCATTCATCATAGATCTTCCAATCACGAAAATTTTATTAAACTACTAGAGACGTGGTAGGCCTAAGGCACTGGAGATGATGATGACCTAATTGGGAGTTGATTCAGGTGATGTCCAAAAGAAGATCGATGACACCAAAGCATGTCATGTCATATTTTCATTCTTGAAGACACTGTATAAAGACCACCTGGTTGTAATTATGGAGGCTAATGGTGATGATGCTCGTGTTGTGTTTCATAAAGGATGTGCATTGTGAGCATACCTCAAGTTTTTTGTTGGAACATCCATATTTGTGGATACAAGTGCAACCTATATGGATGTCATATATCTTATATACTTCATTGAATTTGACATAATTTTGAGTACAATTTGGAAGGTTCTTGTTTAGTTTCCTTATACTCCAAGTTAGGTGAAACTTGTATGTGAAAGACTAGACAGTTGACAGAAAACAACTGTCTATTTACAATAATATATTTTTTACCTTTAATGTTACTAATATTTCATAATACTTGTGCTACTTCGTTGCTAATATTTCGGTTGAACTATTTTCAGGCATGAACTTGCCACCACTTTCCACGTCTCTTTGATATAGTTTTTCACACTAAGAAAACTATATCATGTTCATACACTTAGAATACTTTCTTGAATATATTCTATTAAGTGTGATACTTGTTTTAAACTTGTGTATCTGCTTATTTTAGAAGCCTTTTGTAAACAAAATTTTGTTGTATTAACCTTTGATTAAAGTTTCTTGAGAGACTAGGGTACAGTCAGGATTCTCAAGAAGTCTTAGACAGGTTTCCTTTGAGTTTGTAATAAATTCTTTGATTAGTGGATTAAATCCTTATTGAGAAGGCAAAATCACTCTAGCGGGTGGGCTGAATGTAACTTAGTTAACAGCAAATCAGGATAAAAATAATTGTGTCTTTTATCTTTATTGAATATTTTGTTGTTTGTGTTATTAGGTAGAGAAAAAGTTTTAATCTAAAAACCCAATTCAAACCACCTCCCTTCCTTATGTTTCTTGAGCCTTCAATTGGCATCAGAGTGCTGTTTCTTTTATTGGTCATTTTATATCAAACACTCAACGGTGTTAGTAAAAGATCCATTTTTGAAACACAATATGAAGCTATTAACAATGATGAAGATCACTACTCGACTAAATCTCTAGTCTTTGATGGAGATAATTTTGATTATTAGAAGGAGATAATTTTGATTATTAGAAGGAGAAAATTGAAAGTTTCTTCCTTGGTTATGATGCATACTTATGGGATATAGTCATACATGGTTATACACACCCCCTAGATATAAATGGTGCTAAGTTAGAAAGAAACAACATGAATGACCAACAAAAGAAAGATAATAAAAATTATTAGAGGTCAAGAACCATTTTGTTAAATGTTATCTCATACAATGAGTATGAAAATATAACAAATATGTACACTACAAAATCTATATTTGAATCTCTTAGATGGACTTATGAAGGAAATAAACAAATGAAAGAAACTAAGACTTTTGTCTTGATTCAAAAATATGAAGCCTCCAAAATGGAGGATAATGAAACTATTGAGGACATGTTCTCAAGGTTTCAAATGCTTGTAGCTTATTTAAAGATTTTAAATAAAGGTCACACTAATGCAGATCAGATAAAGAAAATCATCAGAAGCCTACCAAAGAATTGAAGGCTTATGGTGACTACTCTTAAAGTGTCCAAAGATTTGAAAAGTACGACTCTAGAAGAACTTATTATTTTCTTTAATAAGTCATGAGATAAAGCTAGAAGAGGATGAACCTCAAAGGAAAGAAAAATCTATGGCTCTCAAATCCAAAGGCATGACAGAAAAGGCAAAGGCCTTTCAAGCTGAAGAAGAAGAATAATATGAAAAAGATTCTGACGAAGAAGATGAGATGTCTCTTTTTTCTAAAAGATTTAATCAACTCTGGAGAAAGATACAATAGAAGCTCATAGGAATCAAAAAAGAAAGTGGACGTTTTTAGTCAACATATGGACAATAGAAATCTGGTGATGACAAAGATGTCATTTACTTCGAGTGCAATGATATAGGCCATTACAAGAATGAATGTTTCAAGCTAAAGAAATGAAAGCCTAAGAAGAAGTTCTTCAAAGATAACAAGAAGGTTTTGATGGCTACATGGGACGACTCTGAGTCTTTAGAAGGAGATTCTGAAGAAGAGCAAGCCAACATAGTGCTAATGGCAAGCACAGAAGCATCTGGCTCAGAATCAGAATCAGACTCTAACAAGGTATTCTCTAACCTAACCCGATCTGAAGTAGAATCTTGTCTCACTGAAATTCTTGAAAAATACCAGAGTCTTTAGAACAGATATAAGGATTTGAAACAAATTCATGTAGCTGACTCTAAAGCCCATAGTGAGTTGAAGAAAGAAAACACTACTCTCAAGGAAAAAAATCTCAATATTGAAAAAGATAACTCTTCCCTCAAAATAAAGAGTAAAGAACTTGAAAAAGAGATTCTTTCAGAAGCTCATATGGACTCTGAATTTGTCATTAAGAAATATGGCATATCTTTTAAAAAATTTCTTGTACGAAACGTAAACAGAAGTAAAATGACTTCTATGATTCATGAAGTATGTAGAAATAGAAAAAGAGCTACTGGTTATGTGCCACCAAAAAATTCTAAGGTCAAACCTAATCCAAAACAAAAGGAAATTAAAACCAAAAGGTCTATGAATGTGACAAGAAACACAAGAAAATGGGAGTTTGAATTGGGTTTCCAAGATAAAACTTTTTCGTACTCAAAACACTCAAAGATGAACCAAGAGAAAAAATAAATGAACACAAATATTTTTATACGGGTTCGCAGTTACCTAAGTTAACCTAGTCCACCCGCCAAGGTGATTTTTTCTTATCAACAAGGACTTAATCCACTATAATCATCTGATCACAAACACGCAAAAAATACACGTCAATGTCTTCTTGAGAATCCTAACTATATCATAGTCTCTTAAGGAATACAACCTTAATCAATGAGATACAAGAAATGTGTTTACAAAGTTGCTTCAAAGAAAGCAGATTACACAAGTTTAAATACAATGAATTTATCACACAAAAACGAACAAAAGCTATATGTGTTTTTTTAATATTCACAAGCATAATATATTCAACAAAAGCGTTGTGATCTAGCGTTAACGGGTGTGAAAACTAGCAACATCATTCATTCTTCCAAATCTCCTTTATATAAGCAATGAAAAGATCCATTGGAGGGTAGAATGAAAATATACACAAATGAGCTGACACCTTGCATAACGGTCTACAAAGGTGGG